CAGGAGGTTTCTGAAGGGAAGACAGAATGGAAAACTATTTGTTCCTTTGGTTCAGATTTTGTTCAAAGTTGATAGGCAGTGACAAAAGTTTCCTGTTCCTCACATTGGCCCAGTAGACTTCCATGACTCTACTGGGGTAAAAATGCCACTTACACAGCCCTCCCTTGTACCCTGATGATCCTGGGACACAATACACAGCACCAGGAATTCTTCAATGCTGCTAGTACAATTGGAAGAGAACAGGAACTGCAGGAGAGCTGCCCCATTGTTTTAATTAATTTCAGTAGCTTTTGTGCAGGAGCATTGCCTGGCAGGTGGCCGTAGGCTGCACTAGCCCTGCTTCTCATTCTGTTGCTCTTAACAGCACCCCAAATCTACCATTTTCTATAGCTGTTATAGCGTTTATATACCCCTCCCTCTTCTAGCAAGATCTCTTTCACATTATGTTTTTAATGCTGTTTTTTAATGAGTGAAGTATAGAAAGCAAAAAGAATAAAACATCTGTGATAGTATGGTTTTACAAAATCTATATGCATTACAGTGGAAAAAAGGAGCCATATGATATTAATATAAAATTAATACAATCCCTATCCTTATCATTAAATCTTGACTATATTGCTCCATAATTTTTAGTACATAAAGACATTTTCAAAAATTGGTTTTAAAACCCCCCACATGTCTTGAACCCATTGCTTAACATCAGGAGTGTAGATTTCTTTCCATCTATGTAAATTAATTCTCTTTACTGAGTCCGAGGCTTGATAAAATTAGTCATAAAACGTTTTTATGCAAATATCATCCACGTTATGTTGGCAGCAAGAACACCACTGAACTTTTCTTATCTCTCCAAATTCTGTCCTTTCAGCCTGCTAGAGATAAGAGGCCTTTCTCCTGTCTTTTGCGATAAGAAGACTGCTGCAGCCTCTTCCATGGGTACGTGGTAGCAAATGCCACCATCCAGGCTTCATTGGGACAGAGATAAACTTTGCCCCAAGTGCTAGGTAGCTAGTTTGCTCTCTTGCTGCACGATAAGAGTAACATTTCAGGCAAAAATGAACAGATCTGGACCCTTCTTAAGATCAGGGCAAAGCAGTGGAGTCAGAGGGATATGGCATCTATGCCCTTGTTGAAGGCTTCTGGGAAACAGGACCTTTGGGTTGACCCAGTAGGCACCTCCTTATTATAGGTCTTTGTCTTCCTCTCTTTTGGGTTTCTTTCTGGCTTCATCATAGAGTAGAACAATGACAAGCAGAAGCCTTTTTCATTTAAATTGGGCTTTTAGAAAAACTAGGAATTGACTTTTGTGTGAAAGAACTTCCAAACCAGGTTCAGTTAGGACTACCAGATCTGACCTGCAAAAATTCAGACAACTGCTAGATAAAAGCAAACAGTTAGCATTTTGTTGCTGTTTAGAGTTTGTTGTGGTTCAGATCTGGTAGCCTTAAGTATCAATCCCTGTTCCTGTTCTGGACTTGGAGTCAGACATATTTTGTTTCTTAATGATTAGCATTTAGTTAAATGCTAAAAGGAGCATCTTAGGGAGGGTAAGTAATGAGTTTTGTCTTAGCTACTGTCCATTTTTATTCTGAGTAAAATATATGTCTCAACCTGTTTTCAACGCCTTCCATCACTCCCCCCCCCTTAATACTTCGTCAGAACGTTCATCCTACTTCTGCACCACATAGAAAAAAAACAGTAGTTAAGAAGTATTATAATTGGCTTTTTAACCACATTTAAAGCACAGATGTATCAACCAAGCATTTCCCTCCCCACACAAAGAACAGCCCACCAGAAGTGTGCAAGCGAAGCCTGTATGTGTACTGGAAATACTGAAGCACTGAGTGAACTATTAGAGAATTGAAACACAGTTTAAAGTTTAAAAAACTGCAACAAGGGGGAAAAAAAGGGCTATTGTATCTGTGTTATAAAAATCCGAATTAATCTAGATGTCAGCAAAGGGGTACAAAAAATGCAACACAGATATGGTAACATTCTTTTTACTTCTGTGAAGTTTACAGAATACATCTATTATTGCCGTCAAAATTTGTTGCTTTGTCTGCTATACATTTTATTTTGACCATCTTCTTTTTTAACTTCCAAAGAAGCTTTGTACTTTTAACGTAATTAGAGGTAAAAACTGGTTCTTTTTGAAAGGAGTACAGTTGGAGATAAACCAATTATCCAAATTCCATATAACTTAGTAGTGGATGACCTGTGGCCCCTTCAGCACGTCCTTTATGACACCCCAAAATCCCAAGATCAAGTCTCAGAAATTTGCAGGAAAAAATACCTGGATTTCAGACGCAGAGCTTATTCTTTTTCTCAGAATTAAGGGTGGGAATGGGAGCATTCCATGTCCAGCATGAAACCCATACAAGGACAATCTAAAAAATTAACTGCCTATATTCATCCTGTCCTCACTGAACTCTGATCTTAGACAAAATGCAACCTATCTCCTCCTAAAAGAGGAGCAGGAAACTTTTGGGTTGGGAGCACATTTGGAATTTTGAAAGCCATAGTGTTGGGGTTTATAGAAAGCCCGGGATCACACAGCATGCTTATAGAAAGCCAACTTAATTCACCTACATTTCTAGGTTTGCACAACATACTGACTCATTAATTAATCTCCGGGAATGGGCAACATATAAATTAAATAAATAACCAGAAAGTCTGAGTTCACACAACACTGAACAGTAACACATAAATGATTAGAGTGTTGCCGGAACTGTCAGGCCTAGCCCAAGGAACTCCTGGAGACCGTGCAGGTTCAATCAGCAAGGTTTATTAGCTAGCGCTTATTTACAGAATCTTCTCAGACTGACCAGTAGTTCCCAGGGACAGCTATTCACTATCTTCTGGAATGTTTAGGGATGCGCCAGCTTTCTCCGCCTAT